ATGTTGGTTCTATTGTCCATGTGTCGATTGTTATCTAATGTCTAGTTATCTAGTTTGGTTCTATTGTTTGTTTATTGGTATTTGTTCTGTTGTCTAATTATCTATATTTATTCCACGATATAGTTACCTATTTTTGTTTTCTATGTTTGTTCTACTGTCTATTTGTTTCTGGTTGTTCTACTGTCTAGCTGTTAATTTTTTGTATCTAGTTATCGTCTAGTTATCTGTGTTTGTTCTAATGTCTAATTATCTATGTTTTTACTTTTTGTATTTTTATCGATGATTTTTATGCTGTCGGTTTTCTAGGCTTGCTCTACTGTCTAGTTATCTGTGTTTGTTCTACAGTCTAGTTGTGTGTGTGTTTGTGTGTGCGTGTGTGTGTGTGTGTGTGTGTATTACCTGTATTGTTATTGGCGGTAGATATTTCTGTCTAGTTATTGATGATTGTCCAGCCTGTATATCCATCTATGCTTATCCTGGTTGAATTAGAACAATGGTTGACATAAAACGTTAGTTGAATTAGAGCAATGGCTGATATAAAGCATTAGCTGAATTAGAACAATGGTTGACATAAAACATTAATTGAACTAGGACATGATTTTACTTACAACATTATTTAAATTAGAACAATTGTTAACAAAGAACATACTTAAATTAGAACATCAGTTTAATTTTTTTTTAAACTGGTTTAATTAGAATGTACTAGTTTGTTATTATGGAGCAGTAAGTTGGTTAGAATGTTAGTTGGATTGGTTTGTCAAGAATACTGCTTGGACTAGAAAAATTATTGCACTAGAGCATTGATTGCGCTAGGAGGATGGCGGCACGACAACAGTGGTTGTACTGCAACAAAGATCGTTTTAGAAGAATAGCAGAACACTAATTGGAATGCAAAAAATGCATGCACTAGAACAATGATTGCCCTAGAGCAATGTTTGCACTAGAGCAAATGGCACTAGAACACTGATTACACAAGGGATACACTTGATGAATGATTGCACTAGAATAATGATTGCACCAGAACAATTTTTGCACTAAAAAAACTGTTGCGCAATATATACGCTTGAAAAATGAGTTCCACTAGAATAATACATGCAACAGAACAAGATGAAGACGGTTTCGCTGATAATCTTTTAATTTGCCATATGGATCTCCGAAGATAGTAGTGTTGTGTGAACCAACAGCATTATAATACTACGACCACACAACATTCTATTAATTCTTTGCAAAGTATAATAAATACAATAAGATTTCTGCCATTGATGTCAAATAAATAATAAATATTTGAACAACTTTTCATTACAAGATTAGGAAACATTGAAAGCAGAACGACAGGAATTGATGAAATTATATGGAAATTTTAAGCACAAAATAATTGTTGAAAACGGGGGTAAATGTTGAAAATAGAGGAAATATATAAAATAAAGGATGTTGAGAGTTGAAGTAGAAGAAATGTTGAAAATAGAGGAAATATATAAAATAAAGGATATTGAGAGTTGAAGTAAAAGAAATGTTGAAAATAGAGGAAATATATAAAATAAAGGATATTGAGAGTTGAAGTAAAAGAAATGTTGAAAATAGAGGAAATATATAAAATAAAGGATGTTGAGAGTTGAAGTAGAAGAAATGTTGAAAATGGAGGAAATGTTAAAAGTAAAGGATGTGTTGATGGTTAAAAGAGGAGAAAATGTTTAAAAAGAAAAAAAAATGATTAAATACTAAGACGTGCGAGAGCGACCGTTCAATAAGAAAGAGACAAATAGAATTGAGTCAAAAGAAAAGAATGTAGACAGTAGAGAAAATGCTTTGTTTCTGAAAGAGAGAGAGAGAGAGAGAGAGAGAGAGAGAGAGAGAGAGAGAGAGAGAGAGAGAGAGAGAGAGGGAGGGGGAGGAAGAGAGAGAGAGTGAGAGACAGACGGTGAGGGAGTTGGAAGTGTGAGAGAAATAGTGATTTAGTTTTGGGATAGAAGGATACAAGAGGGGTGAAATTGTGAGAGATAGATGGATGAAACTGGTAGGAATAGAGTGATACAAGTGTGACCAATAGAGAGATTAATGGTGAGGGATTGATGACTACAAGTGTGAGAGATAGTTAGATACAATTGTAAGGATTAGATGGATACAAGTGTGAGAGTTAGAGATATGCAACTATGAGGGATGGAGGGATACAAGTGTGAGAGAGAGAGATGCAACTATGAGGGACGGAGGGAGATAGAGAGAGGAAACTGTGAGAGATGGAGGGATACAAGTGTGAGAGATAGAGAGCGGAAACTGTGAGGGATAGAGGGATACAAGTGTGAGAGATTAAGAGATCAAGTGTGAGGAATAGAGAGATAAGAGTGTGAGAGATTAAGAGATCAAGTGTGAGGATTAGAGAGATAAGAGTGAGAGATTAAGAGATCAAGTGTGAGGAATAGAGAGATAAGAGTGTGAGAGATTAAGAGATCAAGTGTGAGGGATAGAGATATAAGAGTGTGAGAGACTGACAGACCAAGTGTGAGGGATAGACAGTTGAATGTATCATAGTAAGAGAGTGTTGACAAATAGAGAAATGGGAGTGGCAAAGACAGATAGATAAAAGTATATAGACAGGTGAGCATCATTTAACATATAACGAGATGAAAATGTAAGAAATAGAGAAGTGAGTACGTAGGATTGAAAGATGCAATTGTATATAAGAGAGAGACATGTTCGTGTAAGAGAAAGAAAGGGGACATTGTGTGAGTATTAGAGAGAGAGAGGGATGGAAATATGAGAAACAGAGAGAGACAATTGTGTATTACAGAGAGATGCAAGCGTTAAAGATGGCCACACGAAGCGTGCGAGATTGACAGATGGATGGGTAGCATAAAGAGCAACCAAACATCACGACTGAGACAAAGGAGCGATATACATTGGATGTCAGTTTTAAACACTTATGATCGGTGACGAATGGGGTCATCTGAGGTGACCTGTCCAGTGTGAAGCCCCAGGGGATAAATTACCGAATGACCCACAGACTCAACGAATTGGACGAAACATCATGTACATATAACATGCACATAGGCAACAGCAATTCATAGATTTGTAGGCACATCAGGCACAGACAAAATATTTAGTTGCCAGAACTAATCACATCAAGAAATCACTGTTTTTCAAATGTATATTGAGAAGGGGATCACTGGGGTTAAATATGTAGCAACGAATTGATCTCCGAATAACAAGTTAGTAAAACTATGATTTGTTAACGGAAATTATGTTAACCAGTTAAGGAACAAGCCATAAATATGAGCACTTGTTTCCCTCCAATTTCTGCTTGAGATTTTCCCGCCACATTTGTTAGTTACTGTTGCCGCCTTTACTAATTCTACAGTTATTACTGGTGTTAGTATTGCTACAACTACAACCGCTGTTGGTACTGCTGTTTATGCTACTGCTGCTGTTGCTGTTAGTACGGTTGCTACTACTCCTGCTGCTTTTTGTACTGCTGCTACTACTGCTGCTGACACTACTGTTGCTGCTACTACTGTTGCTGCTATTACTACTGCTGCTGCTAATATTACGGCTACTATTAATGCTGCTTCTACTGCTGCTGACACTACTGCTGCTATTGCGACTAATACTACTACTGATGCTGCTGCTGCTACTGTTGCTGTTACTAGCTGCTGCTGCTGCTGCTACTGTTGCTGTTACTGCTACTACTGTTTCTAAAACTGCTGCTGCTACTGCTACTATTGCTACTCATACTGCCGCCGCTGCTGCTACTGTTGCTGTTACTGCTACTACTGTTTCTAAAACTGCTGCTGCTACTGCTACTATTGCTACTCATACTGCCGCCGCTGATGCTACTGTTGCTGTTACTGCTACTACTGTTGTTACTAAAACTACTGCTGCTACTACCGCTGCTGCCAGTACTGCGGTTACCACCACTGCTACTGATACCCCTGCTGTTACTACTGCTGTTGCTTCTACAAGTGCTGCTTGTTATAACACGGTCATTGTCGTTACCTGGTATCGACACATGATTGGCACTAAGACAGACGGTGATTGGCATCGGTATACTAGTTGGCACTACGATACTGGTTGGCGCTGACTGTCAAGTATCTTGTTGATCTCCTTGTAGTAGAACCTGCTAGAAGATGTTTCTGCTTCTGCTACGGACTCTAGGCTGATTCTTCAAGCTGACCTCCCTTGGCTTGCCACATCACTCCGCTTAAGGCCTGTGGCCACGAAGTGGACGTTTCTCTGGTGTTATCTTAATTAACTGTCCCGCAATCACCATGACTAATTATGTTTTATCGCAGAGTATCCCCGTTTTAAGTGACACCGACACTGTCTCTGCCATTAATCTATTTCAATACCACGTGAAATGTCTTATAAATTGTCCCAGTATAGATGTCGATTTGGAGCTGTCATGTCGATTTAGAGCTAAGGTGTCCATTTAAAGCTGCGATGTCGATTTGGGACTGTGCTAGAGATTTGGTGCTGTTTGGTAATTTGGACATGTGCAACTCAGCTATGATATAGATTTAGATCTGTGATGCAATTTGGAGTTGTGTAACTTGGTGCTGTGATGTAATTTGGAGTTGTGTGACTTGTTGCTGTGATGTAGACTTGAAGCTGTGACGTAGATTTGGAGCTGTAATGTAGACTTGGAGCTGTGATGTAGACTTGGAGTTGTGATGTAGACTTGGAGTTGTGATGTAGACTTGGAGCTGTGATGTAGACTTGGAGCTGTGATGTAGACTTGGAGCTGTGATGTAGACTTGGAGCTGTGATGTAGACTTGGAGCTGTAGTGTAGATTTGGAGCTGTGATGTAGATTTGGAGCTGTGATGTAGACTTGGAGCTGTGATGTAGACTTGGAGCTGTGGTGTAGATTTGGAGCTGTGGTGTAGACCTGGAGCTGTGGTGTAGACTTGGACCCCCGATGTAGACTTAGAATTGTAGTGTAATTTAAAGCTGGGATGTAGACTTGGAGCTGTGATGTAGATTCGGAGCTGTGGCGTAGATGTTATCGTGCTACATACATCCGCAAGTTTCCACGATGACCTTGGGAACAATTTTCCGAACGTAGTCGGTGCCCTCCGTGGCCATGATGAAAGTGTCCTTGAGAACCAAGGGCACACAGCAAGACTTGAGCTGCTCGCTCATGGTTGGTTGGCTGGAGTAGGAACTGCTCAAGCGTAGCCGTTGTTTCAAGGTCGTGTGGTTGTAGGTGAACTGGTGCCCATCTGAAAGTATACCAGTGGTTGCGGAACTTGTGTATAACTTAACATAACAGTAGTTCATAACATTACATAACATTACCTTAAGTTACGTTATGTTGAACTCAAGCCTGAGTCCGAAGAATCTCATCGCAGTGCACGAACTCCGTAGCACCGGCGAGGATCCTGAAATACTTTTCACTTCAAATTTTGCACGGGCAGCGCCGTTAGGCTAGTCTTTTCCATTTCCAACTGCTAAGGGATTTTTTACATGTTCACTAATACACACGGGCGTCCGATCTTACTTCCCAAAGACTACTCCCCCCCCCCCTTTTTTTTTTATCCCCACCCCATCCCCCTATAAGGAGAGGAGAGACTAAGGCGCTCAGTGCCTGACCCACCTATTTCGGACGCCCTGCGCACAAGATATTACACGGTGACAACAGTACAATGTATTTGTGTTGTAGTTCGTCATTCGTCATCATTCTTTGGGTGTCGTTAGTCGTCACATAGGTCTTGCATTCGCTTGCTTTACTCTGCTCTATTGGATGCTTTATTGTGACTGAATGTCAGTCCTCCAGAGATAACATGGAGAGAGAACTGACCCGCCAGCTAAACAGACTCGCAGAAAACAATCAAATCGTTCCCCAGTGGATCCCGGCTCACTGCGGCATACCAGGAAATGAGTTAGCAAACAGAATTGCTAAAAATGGAACAAAGGAGAAACAACAAACCCTTCTATTGGCATTACCAGAAATCAGAACACGTATCAAGAGAAAATATAAGGAATTGTGGAGAGAACAAACTAACAGTAAACATCCACAAAACCCCATTAGCAGACTCAACAGAAAGCAACATACAACAATTTTCCGTCTACGAACAGGACACTGCAGGCTCAACTACCACATGCATAAAATAAAGATTGTACAGTCCCCACAGTGTGCCTGTCAAACAGGACCACAAACACCTGAGCAAATTCTGCAGACCTGCTCACTCTACCTACAACTTCGAAAAGACACCTGGCCTCAAGTGCAAAGTGGGCAGAGCAAGCTATGAGGAACCATGAAGGACCTGCTACTGACATGTGAGTTCATAGAGGCAACCCACCTGATGGTCTGATCTGAGCATACGAAACCAAACGCAAAGAAGAAGAAGAATTTCTCTTGTATGCAATTCTTCTCCATTACTGACATGGAGTTTCACACACCATTGTTAGCCTCACGTAATAATATTCTTTTGTAAGTCTCTTATAGACGTCCTCTTTTTCTCAGACCGTTTGTTTCCCTAACTGTATTTCTCAGCTCGTTTCGTCTCAGAGTGTGTCCAAAAAATCCACCTATGTGGCCTTGAGCCTTGTTAAAGTGCGCAATTATTATTATTATTATTAAAATTATTATTATTTTGTACTGAATGGCAAATAAATAACACAATATTTTTGAAATAATAGGAAAGCTATAAACACAAACTTACAAAGATAACACCTATATGTGGTTAGAGATGACCCATTGACCCCTATGCAAATTATCTAAACTAGAAAGGAAAGCTTGGCGGTGGGTTCAATCTCCATCAGAATTATTAAAGAGAGGTCAGTGACATTTCCAACCCTCTACCCACCCCGCTCCCTCCTTCACCCCAAAAAATTGGACCCGGTGAGGGGGGGGGGGGCGCTCAAGGTTCATAAGCCCTCTACTTTCCGACGCCCCTTGCGTACTAGAGCTGTACTGTTTAACCTGCCTAATCATGAAACCGAGTATGGTAAGTAATTTTTCTCTCCCATTATTGCAGTCTACAGGCTCAACATGTAGATAATTTTTGCCTTTCCGTCTTTCCAGACGAAAGTGTTATATTGAGCTATGAGGAGGGATGAGACTCACAGCCCATGGCGATGGCGAGTGTGACTAGCTAGACCCGCCCGAGGTCAGAAAAATCTTCCTCAATTTTTTTTTCTTTGTTCACTGGCTGTAAGCTCAGGCGGAAAATCCTGGTTGTTCGTCCATTTGGACTTTGGCTTTGTGCCAGGGCCTGACTTTTCCGTCTACATCTGTTTTACTGACTTATTTGTGTGCAGTCTTTTGTTCCTTACCACTCGAGCAATTAATATATATACAAATATGTGTCGCATCGGCTGAAAACGTAATTGGTGACATAGCATTCAACACACACACACACATGCACACACACATACACACACACACACAAATGTTGTCCATATTGTTTTTGTTTCTTTGGGTGCCACATAAACAAATTCCCCGGTTTTGGTGGGCCGCGGGTATCTAAAGGTTGAAGAACACTGCAGTAGAGTGGACGTGGCATACGCCATTTGGAAGTGACAGGTTCGATTCCCGGCACGGAAACTATAGCTTTCGAATTTTATGTTGTCCAGCGTATCCTTCTATCTTTCTTCTTCTTTCTAAGAATGCTGATCAATACCTTGTCTGTTTGTTTATTACATATACAACACATCTGCATTGTCTGTTGATTTTATATATATATATATATATATATATATATATATATATATATATATATATATATATATAAGTAAATGACCCTTTTCCTTATAGTGCATATAGGGCTAGATCTATTTTTTTATAGACCAATCGGCACAAGATGGGTGATGTGGTCAGCATCACGCCGGTCGCCTTTACTTCCCGGGAATATATATATATATATATATATATATATATATATATATATATATATATATATATATATCGAGTATCTGCATGGTAGGTAGTTAAGCATATCTGAAAAGTTCATAGATAAACTTACCATTACAACTGCCGTAACAATAGCCAATGGACAGGTTTCGGGGCTCGTAAATCTCGGCCATCCGGATCTCATGAAAGTTGACCACCAGGTCCCTCTTGCAACATTCGGACACCGGGTCGCAAGACTGTGACCGCTTACTCCTGGTCAGCCTGTTGTTGGCGGAGTATTTCACCACTAAAAGTGGCTTGTAACCTTGCTGTTGACAGAATAGCAAACATGTTTAGCCATAAAGTAAGTAAAGATTCCTTTTCACGCCTTAAGTCACATCGGGTATATGGGAAGAGCGGCCATATTTTTACAGACCAGTTGGCAAAAGGTGGGTAATGTGGTCAGCGTTACACCGGCCGTCTTTACTTCCTCAGGACACACATCCTGGTACCCATTTTAGGCTGGGTCGAGCTGCAACGCCCCATACCACGATAAAAATCCACGCAGCAGGCAGTGGGTTTCGATCGCGCTACGTTAGAATTACCAGTCGGACTCGCAATGCCTCAGCCACGGACGTCACAATGTCAAGCTACAGATCGACGAATTTAAGAAAAAAAAGGTGTTCTAAAGGCAAGTGGATCGACTTTATATTGCTCAGTCCCATGTGTGGGTTTCCGGGTCCCTATTGTGGGTGTAGGGATGGAAGAGGAGGCAGGGGGTTGAATAAAGTACTCCCGCTGCCTTCCTAACAAGTCCATCGTAAGAGTCGACATATAATGGGTTTTCTTTCAAATCGGAGAACTTCTGCCTGAGAGTGATGAAACCAACAGTCTGCATACAAATAAGCAAGATCCGTGAATCGGACATGCAGACAAAACTCAAGTTCTTGAACAGGACCAAAGTCCAGAAGGTAACGAAGAACCAGAGTTTACAACCGGTGAACGGGAAGAAGAAGACATGAGCCATCTCTTCTGTAGAGCGACTGGTCCCCCGGGCAGTCACAGCACTAAGCACAAACTCCGTAGCTCCAGCAACGATTTGCAGAATATTTATTACCCGAACCGAGAGACGTAGTCTGAGATCAAAAACACAACATTTAGATGCATTTGTTAAAGGGCTAAACCATTCGTCCGCTGAGGTCTCCATGAAAAACAACACAAGCTCGCCTGGACATAGTATCATTTGTAGTCACCAGTTAGAATCATTAGCTTCAGTAAAAGAAAATGATGTACAAGATCTCATCGACTTGTGACGGAGTCCTGTTCCTACTAGCAGTTAGCAAGTCCAACTGGTCGTAAGTGGAACTGGTCGTGTCGAACTGGTCGTAAGTGGAACTGGTCGTAAGTGGAACTGGGCGTGTCGAACTGGTCGTAAGTGGAACTGGTCGTAAGTGGAACTGGTCCTAAGTGGAACTGGTCGTGTCGAACTGGTCGTAAGTGGAACTGGTCGTGTTGAACTGGTCGTAAGTGGAACTAGTCGTGTCGAACTGGTCGTAAGTGGAACTGGTCATGTTGAACTGGTCGTAAGTGGAACTAGTCGTGTCGAACTGGTCGTAAGTGGAACTGGTCGTAAGTGGAACTGGTCGTAAGTGGAACTGGTCGTAAGTGGAACTGGTCATGTTGAACTGGTCGTAAGTGGAACTAGTCGTGTCAAACTGGTCGTAAGTGGAACTAGTCGTGTCAAACTGGTCGTAAGTGGAACTAGTCGTGTCAAACTGGTCGTAAGTGGAACTAGTCGTGTCAAACTGGTCGTAAGTGGAACTAGTGGTGTCAAACTGGTCGTAAGTGGAACTGGTCATGTTGAACTGATCGTAAGTGGAACTAGTCGTGTTAAACTGGTCGTAAGTGGAACTAGTCGTGTCGAACTGGTCGTAAGTGGAACTGATTGTGAGAATCGTCAGACTCAGACTTGAGTTAGAAGTAGAACGGAGCACTTATGGGTTACACCAGTGTGCCATGATGTAGTTCCGTTTAATAAACATAAACATAAAAAAAAATGTATTGCCCTTTTTGGGGTGAGATAGAATAGACCCATTGCCTCTTAGTAAGCGTGTCGAAAAAGGCGATTAATTAAGAGTTTGTTGCAAATTATATGATTTGGTAAACGCACAAGAAGAAAAAAAAAATAAAACGTACATTATCAACGAGTACAGCTGTGAGACTCACCTTGACTCCGAAAAGAGATGTATAACTCTTGGCCGTACAAGTGGAGCACCTAATCGCCAGCACGTGACTGTTTTTCCCGGTGTCGAGCCACTTGTGTAACTCCCCGGTGATGTTGATTTTAACCCAGCCTTCCTGGACAAAGTTTCTGTCGACTCCGATTAGCCGTTGGTACATCCTAGGAAACCAAACACATATTTATTTCGTTTAAATAACACGAACAAAAACACATAAAGAAGCACAAACACTGAAATCTATTCGCCGAAATAACATAATTCTCATTGTCAGGTTTGGCTTTCCAGGACGAACCACGTGATTGTCATGGTAACTTCAAATTTATCACATGGTCTTTTTGTTTGCATAATACATATGAGTACTGTTGTATTGATACGGCCTCGGCCAGTTTTAGCAAATGTCTATTCAGTGTGTGTGGTAAATAATTCTGAAAGAACAATCTTTATTAACTACGTGTCCAAAGTCAAGCAAATAACGTCGCATCAAAGAACGGGAGCCCCTCTCTTCTTGGCTAATCTTGAAACAGAATCTCCACTTAGTTGTGCGTGGAGCCATTTAGGGAATTATTCTGCCATCCTTTTTCATCTGCCTGAGAGGCAAGGAACCAGCAGTCTGCATACAAATGATTCAGATCTGTAAAACAGAACCACACGCAACACTCAAGTTCTGGAACAGGACTGCAGTCCGGAAGTGGACGAACAACCAGAACTTTGTGTTAGAGTTTACAGCTGGTGAACGCAAAGAAGAAAAAGAATAGTGATTTAAAAAGATTATGAATTTCGTTATTGCTTCTCACTCTCCATTCCCCGCTGTTTGCATCTTTGATGGGTCCAAAGATTCATCGTAAGACTGTTTTCGAAAACCTGAAATAAGGTTTCATCTCTTTTAGTTGTGCTCTAAGTTTCAGAGTCATATAACACGACTGGTCTTATCGTTTTATATATTTTGGTCTTGGTGTTGTGAGACAGACACTTTGACTTTAGCCGATGTTTAAGGGCATAGTGAACTTTATTATCAGATTGTATTCTAGATTATATTTCTTCTCTCAGCATGTTGGAGCAGTTTTTTTTTTTTTTTTTTACGTATCCAGAAACCATGAGTTGTAAACCCTTTGGCTCGGTACTATGGATATCGCAACCATTCGGCCTTGATTCCATTATAGGTACCGCTAATCTGGGAGAAATGTGGCTTTTCTGCCTACCCCCGGGAGTGAACCCGGACCACAAGGAGTTCCTCACCCGGCCGCCGCGAAAGTCAGGTTTAACCAACTTCGCTAGAGAGCCGGGCGTTGGAACAGTTGAAGTTTGCATCCAAGTATTATTTGCGTCCACATATTTAAATTTACAATGGGAAAGCACTGTTATGAAATTTGTTACCTTCACAAAATTAGACACATTCTACGACGTAGTGTACTTTCTGTCACTGAGGTGAGTTGTTAAGAGCCTACATAATATATCTGAGGACATACGCATAAGCACCCCGTCCACATCTTCAGAAGCTAATGCAGAGTTCCAGTTCCCATGGTAATAGTAACAGTCACATTGTATGCTTGTCTTTCCTTTCCCCTGAATCTTTAGCCTCGACCAAATCTGCTAGTGACACCTGTCTGTATCATTCATTCTCTTCAGACGGTGTTGCTTTTTGTGTGTGTCTATGCACTCACTGTTCACACGCTTCCAAAAGCTGGTTTTGTGATGTACCAGTTTACCATCACGTGGTGCAGCATCGGCCAGTTTGTCTGTCCGCACGTTTCTCAAAACACGTTCATTCATAGGATAACAAGAATATCCATATGACGCGTTTTGTCTTTGCTTTACTGAGTCGCTCCTCTTCTACCTGGGGGTGTAGAGGTTTGTCAGACAGATCGCCAGACGTCTCTATCGGCACTTTTCTTTTTGGTTGTGTTCCATTCCAGTCCTCTTTCAGTTAGGGACTGTCGGATGTTGTCTTCCCAGCGCACCCTGGGCCGCCCTGGAGGTTTGGTTCCCTGGTTCTTAGCCTCCCATGCCTGCCACAGTGGCCGATTTTCTCACATTCTGCTTGCATATCCAAACCATCGTAACTGTGACTGATCCACTTGGGTTTGTAAGGACTAAGTATCAAGATCATGACGTTTTGTGCTACATACACAAATACAGGTTAACACTGCAACAAAGTGTCCTAATTTTAATGTCACGAAAATCAGCACAAAGATTGCAAGTATTTCGTGTGACAATACGAACGCGAAAGATGGCGTATGATAAGTGGTGAAACTCGCAACCTTATGTATGACATAAGGACACACTAGCAATGTGAGGTATGACAAGTGATGACACTCGCAATATGACGTGAGACAAATGCTGACAGTCGCAATGTGAGGTGTGGCAAATGATGACGCTCGCAATGTAACGTGTGACAAATGATGACACTCGCAATGTAACATGTGACAAATAATGACACCGGCGATGTGACATGTGACAAGTGATGACACTCGAAGTGTTACGTGTGACAAGTGACGACACTCGCAGTGTAACGTGTGACAAATGGTGACACTCGAAGTGTAACGTGTGACAAATGGTGACACCGACAATGTGACATATGACAAGTGACGACACTCGCAATGTGACGTGTGACAAGTGACGACACTCGAAGTGTAACGTGTGACAAATGGTGACACCGACAATGTGACATATGACAAGTGACGACACTCGCACTGTGACGTGTGACAAATGACGACACCGGCAATGTGATCTGTGACAAGTAACACCTTAAAACGAGGGTCAACTAACACTGGGTATCTGACGTGTAACAAGTGACGACACTGGCAATGTGATCTGTAACAAGTAACACTCTGAAACGAGGGACAACGAACACTAGGTATCTGACGTGTGACAAATGATGACACCGGCAATGTGACATATAACAAGTGACGACACTGGCAATGTGACGTGTGACAAGTGACGGCACTCGCAGTGTGACGTGCGACAAGTGACGACACTGACAATGTGATCTGTGACAAGTAACACTCTGAAACGAGGGACAACGAACACTAGGTATCTGACGTGTGACAAATGATGACACCGGCAATGTGACATATAACAAGTGACGACACTGGCAATGTGACGTGTGACAAGTGACGGCACTCGCAGTATGACGTGTGACAAGTGACGACACTGGCAATGTGATCTGTGACAAGTAACACCCTGAATGTAACGAAGGACAACTAACACTGGGTATCTGACGTATGACAAGTTACAGTGGACGACTGACCTGTTGAGGTGAATGACCTTAAACAGTTGACCTTTGACATCGTTGGTGTCTTTGAGTTTGTAGAACCAGAGTTGAGCCTCGGCCACCGCCAGCTTGACCTTGCCCTTGAGGTTAAATCTGTAACATCCGGTGGCCCCTGGCCAAGGACAGTCTCGGCCCACTGTCGAGGCAGAAGGCAGAGGAGAAGAGGTAAGACACTGGGTGACAAAGGTGTCTGTCCGTTACGACAGGGCCGTCTTAACTCGTGGACCCGCTGGGAACTTGCCCCGCGAGCACACGGGCCTGGTGCTAATATGTGGTATGTTTAATATTATCGACCATTTACATTTCATTCACGTGAGTTCTTGTCGAAAGGGCCCCAGCACACTGATTTTCCCAGGGGCTCATAACGCTGTTAAGACGGCTCTGTGTTACAGTGTCTGTATGCGTGTGTGAATGTGTGCGTACGTCTGTATGTATGTACGTTGTTTATGATTCTGTATGTGTAAGAGAGTGTGTGAACGCGTGTAAATGTATGTGCGCGTTTATGACTGTGTATGTGTTCGCGAAACGCGACTTACCATTATTGAATCGAGAAAATAGCGCTTTGCAACATAAGTACTGGATGTATGTATATTATGTATGTATGTATGTATGTATGTATGTATGTATGTATGTATGTATGTATGTATGTATGTATGTATGTATGTATGTATGTATGTATGTATGTATGTATGTATGTATGTATGTATGTATGTATGTATGTCTGTCTGTCTGTCTGTCTGTCTGTCTGTCTGTCTGTCTGTCTGTCTGTCTGTCTGTCTGTCTGTCTGTCTGTCTGTCTGTCTGTCTGTCTGTCTGTCTGTCTGTCTGTCTGTCTGTCTGTCTGTCTGTCTGTCTGTCTGTCTGTCTGTCTGTCTGTCTGTCTGTCTGTCTGTCTGCCTGCCTGCCTGCCTGCCTGTCTGTCTGCCTGCCTGCCTGCCTGCATGGAGTGATGGATGGATGGATGGATGGATGGATGGATGTATGTATGTATGTATGTATGTATGTCTATATGTGAGTCTATTTGTCCGTATACATGCCTGTCTATGTGTGAGGATGTCTATATACCCGTGCGCATGGTTGTCTGTATGCTATTTCTGCCTGCATGCGGGATTGTCTGTCTGTCGGCAGATGTATCTCTCTGTATGTATGCTTGCATGTATGTCTGTATACATGTATGTATATGTCTGTATGCTTGCATGTATGTCTGTATGCTTGCATGTATGTCTGTATGCTTGCATTATGTATTGTTGTGTTACACATCTCGTTCGAGAGATGTACTTTTATATTCTCAAGTTCAAGGTAAGTTTCTAACAGAGGTCAGATACAAAGGTCAAGGACCAACATAACATGCAGCTGCATGTCAGGGCCGGCAACTGGAGGTCAGGACCGACCCACAGACATCATGCCAAACAATGAACAACGAATGTCGGACATCGCCGCCCAGGCAGAAACGTTTGAGCTGCCCCAACTCCCAGTTCCAAACTTGCAACTGTTGTGGTTAACCCCTATGCTCCTTCCATGAAACGGGACAGTGTGCGGCAGAGATGTGAACACACTGTGTTGGTGGAGCACGCTGGGTCAACTGTGTTTACGAAATGCCCGAACTCTGTGCAAGCTACTGGATTCAACAACGCACAGTGTCCAGTTTTCTATCGTTCTGAAATCTCTTGAAATAAATAGCTGCCATCTGTTACAGTGCTGCTGTATTGCAGTAAATCTTAGTATGTGATTGCACAAAATAAAAAAGTAAAAACAACACAGAGACTTTGCAGTTATCGTTTCTGAGAAGCATGAAGCGGATGCCGCAGACGTCTGAGTGACTAACAACGGCTGTCTGGAAAAGGTCTATGAAATTAGTGAACTATAAATAACTACAAGAAAGAGACAATTTCCTGTTCTTCGTTTAGTTGATGAGAAGAGATGCATTGGAGAACATCGTGATGACGGAAAAGATCAACTGTACAAGAATTAGACCAAGAGAAACGATGTTTGGCAGCCTGGCGCGATGGTATGGTGGAATATCACCAGTGGAAGGACCGAGAGTTGGAGAGAGACATTAGTACCTGTGCAGCCTGATAGGGCACTTGATTATGATGACGATATACCCTTTACAGCAGCGGTTCTCAACCTGTGGATCAAACGACCCTTTCACAGGGGGGCGCTAAACACCATCGGGAAACACATATTCCCTGAAGTTATGAAGTATTAACAGAAATGATGTTATGGATGGAGGTCACCACAACATGAGAAACTGTGTTAAAGGATCGATGAATTACGACGGTTGAAAACCGGTGCTTTACGGGATTCAACACACCGACTCCAGCATATGCTGTATTTTGTGGCTTTACTGAGAAATTTTACATTCAGGGTTTTGCTATTACTATGTTAATGGTTTGATATTATTGTCTGAGTCAACGCAAAGTGGTATGCGGTCCTGTCGCCTACAGAGGAACTCAGACAGGTTTGTCGGAATTATCAAATATCAATATGGAAATCCAGATAACATAAACTACAAATACTTGGGCACACACTTCAACTGCTTCAATATACTGAGAGAAGAAATACAATCTAGATTACAGTATGCAAACATGTCCTATTATGCCCTGAAACAAATGCTAGGAATAAATGCAGTTACTGGTGCCATCGGAATTGGAACTTTTCGCTTGCTGCTGAAGCTGGGGAAGGAGCGCTTGTGGGAGTTTCCCGAGTGCAATGATGTCGATTCTTAATTCAACATTCAACACCAATGTCACAGTAGATGAAAGGCTGATAAAACCAGTTGTCTTATGTGTCTCTGAAACCTGAAGTACAACTCAAAGAAAGGAAACCTTACTACAAACTTCTGATGTATTAGTCTCATGATGGATCTTTGTACCCATAAACTTAGAAAAACAGCTGAGAATGATGAGTGAAAATTAACAACGAAATTCATAATCTAAATCATCACTAATTACTGGCATCATAAGGGTGATATACTGCGACGGTTGGGACATATATAGAGAGAATACTAGATAACAGAGAGACAAAAAATGCCAGGAGGCACACCAAGATTTCAGCAGTTCGCGAATCGCTGCCCTAACCTTCATTTTTGTGACAGGGTATGCGGGTGTTCAAGGGAACGAGCGTGCAGATTATCTTGCTGAGACTGCGGTTGGTATGGCTAGTTCAGGACTGGACAGATGCGATGTTATCAATGCCATGCGCAGCACTTACCGTGACGACGACACGCCAAAGGGCATGACTCCGTATCCCTGTCTAGACTGGTGGATATAGGGGTGCAGCCTCGGGCTGCAAGAAATGAATCAACACAGAACAGGCGTCATCAGTCGTTTTACACTTGTAGAGTTTTTAAGGAGGAAATCGAAGCACCTATGGATCTGTCCGGAGTGCTCTGATGATAATCCCTACTAATCACTAATCACAGACTAAGAAGTCAGCGGAGAGATTATGTATACGCTGACCTAGGAAAACCAGGGAGTCGTCAACTGGAGAGAGAGGACCAATCATAGAGATGAATGGATGCTGGCGATATCTGCAGCAATGAACATCAAACGCGGGCAATGCTGAAGAAGAAGAAGAAGTTTGAATTATGCAACAACCCCGACACAGTCTCATCGTCACCTCATCTTGATCCTCTGCTACCTAGCGGTGGCGGGATGAAGTATAATTTATGCGAAAGGGCCCGTTTGTGCGCTTCGTAAATGAGGATCAACAGGGACTCTGTTATTCTCTCTGTCCATCGTTTGCATGGTTGGCCTTTGCTTCCTCCCTGTCTGGTCTATACATCATTGCTTGCTGTGGTATATTATTTGCTGGCTTCTTCGTTATATGGCCAAACCATTTCACATGTTGTTTTCTAATAAAATCCAGAGCTGCTGCTACTTCAATTTTCCTTCGGCTCTCATCATCTCTGATTGTATCTTTTCTTGTTATATTAGGAGCTCTTCGAATGAATCTAATTTCAGTTGTTATAATTTTGCTGTTTCCGTTCTTTCTCTCATTACCCAGGTCTGGCAAAGATAATAACACAGGGTTGGCAACAAGATGATGTCTTAAAGTGGGCTTTTGCTTACTAACGACGCATATTTGCGGGGGAGGGGGTGGGACTGCAGGGTCTCGAGGCATGACGTCCGCCTCGAGTGCTGGAAGTCCTGGGTTCAAGCCCGGGTAAAAGCTGGGATTTTTTTACTTGGACTTTTAGTAATTTCCCCTTGTCTTTGGGTAGTAAGCTGGAACGCCCGTGTGTGTTGTTGCGCACGTAAAAACAAAATTCCGTTGGCAGTTGGAAATAAAAAAAAGGTAGCCTATCAGCGCTGCCCGGGCAAAATGTGGAGTTAAAAATCTACCCAAAGTATTTCAGGATCCTCGTTGGTGGTACAGAGTTCGTGCACTGCGCTGGCATTCTTCGGACTCAGGCTTGAGTCAGAAGTAGAACGGAGTACTTCTAGCCTTGTACCATAATGTTGATCAGTCGTCTAAACCTAAAAATATTTTGTTTTTCAGTATTGGTTCCATTTGCCCATTGAAAAAATATACACCGTTTTTAACTCTCTAACTTTGCCAGGTCCTACTTGCGAGTCCTGACGGGGTTTGAAGGCGACTACCCCCTCTTCTGAATACGAATGTTGTAAAAAGTGACTTACTGAGGCTTGCCAAAATTGACTGTGTTCAGCCTCAGCCGCAGAGGGGTCCGAACCTGGAGGCTCAGACAAATTGAGGCTTAAAAAAGACTTAAGCCAGCTCAGCCCCAGCCGATATAAAATTGACAGGGTGGAGTGAGCCACGTACGCGCGGTTTTATTGGATCATGAGAAGACTGGGTCCTATTCACGTTTCCCGACACATCTACACACTTTCTCAGTCTGGTGTAGGTCAGAGGAGTGTCACGTTGTATTGTTTTTTTCGAAAAGAGTCTCTTGTGGGACCTAAGTTCAGTCTGTGGGTAAGGAGGTTCGGGTTAGGGCGAGTTCTAGATGTTCTGGGGTCGGTGAAAGCTGTGTCATCGTGTAGTAAAGAATACAAGACATCGGCATGAATTTGAAGGCAAGACAACGTGACACCCCTATGACGTAGAACAGTCTAAGAAAGCATGAATGAAAGGTCAGGCAGTGTGTAGATGGGCCGGGAAACTTTAACAAGGTGGTAGTTTGAAGTATGCACAACAGAGTATACACACTGTTGACTCAAAAAGTCCTGTACACACAGACTGTTTACCTTTACCATATATATATATATATACAAAACAGAATGAGAAACACAGGGCATCGACGCCAGTGTGGCTTACTGGACAGCCAGTGCTCGACTCGGTCGCCAATTGGGTGGGTGAACAGCAGCCGTCATCGCATCAAGACTGCAAGAGCCATTATCAGTGCTTTTTGGTGGGCAGCACTTATTAGACACGAATGTGGAAAGCGTAGGAGGGGGCGGGTGTACAGACCACAATATAACCGATAGCTTCCTCCCCCGGAGGGTAGCTGGTTGAATGTGGTCGAGTTCCCCCCCCCCCCCCCCCCATTGAACCTGGAACTTTGAAGCTGCACATATAGGAGACGTACAAAACACTGATGTTCAAACCTCATAATCTCCCTTGATGACCTAAATAGGAACTGTCTGCAGTTGAGGAAATGGAAATGACGTACACAAAAAAAAATCGAACGTTTCGACCAAAGTCTTTATCAATGGAGTACTAAATACATTACAAACTGAGACTGGAAAACTCAACGGAGAAGACAGCAGAGCTTCAAAACAACATAGATCGACATGATTGTTCTGTTGTATTCTTAGGCGTCTTTTCTACTCCTTCCGATGAGCTTTCTGGTCAAATTTTATGTTGTCTTTAGAACAAAGTCGGCGTCTGTGGCTTAGGCTTTACGAACGCGCTTCGTAATGCCGGGGTACCTTGTTCAATCCCTGCTGCGGACACTTTGTATTGCACTGGTTTCGACAGTGGTACCGAGAGCCGACCGTTCAGTAGCAATGGCAAACTACTGGACATAAATTTGCCTAGAAAAACCACAACAGCCAGAAAGTGCTGGGGTTGGTTCTGCAACGTCCTGTAAAGGATACGCAACTAATTTAATTAGAAATAATCTCCAGCTAGAATACTCACAATCGTCTCCAGCGATAATGATCTCTTCGTCCCTGGCGTAGAACTGATCCTTCTCCAGCTCATTCACGTTGTCTTTGATCGTCTGCTCCAGGATGGCTTGTGGCAGTTTTGGCGGATTCACGGCTGGAGTGCCATCGTTGACAGCTCCTTGCATGGTTGTATCATTGAGATCGATGCGCAGCTTCTGCGCCAGCAGCTCTTTGAACATGTCGATACGTATGGCTTTCACTTGTTCCTCCATGAGGGCGCTCTTGCTGCATGTTGTACACGTAGATGTCTCGTTACTTTCTTCTTCTTCGTTGTCTGCATATGGTAGCTTTCCATTGTCTTCAGTAAATTCTGCACCTATTTCTTGATGGGCACTTGCTCTTGACTGCGTACTTGTTGCTGGTTCAACACTTGTTACTAGTTCATCACTTGTTACTGGTTCAGTAGTTACTACTGGTACTGCACTTGTTACTACTAGCTGGTCATTCTTTATTGGTTCACCACTCGCTCCTAATTGAGCACTTGGTTGGGGCTGCTTCTTGACAATCTTCACAGCATCTTCACTGACGCTATAAGGCAGCACCGGCGACTGAACGTGGGTACCCACACGTTCCTCGAATTGTCTAGAAGGTATATTGCGATCAGACGCTGTGATGTTACTGTTTGGGTTTCTCGTCTCTTTCACAAATAAAGCCTTCTTCCTGTTAGTCTTGTCTTTCTGATGTGTAACCACTATTGTTGTGTGTTGCAGTTGCGAAGAGGGCTCTGAAGCTGGCCAGGACCACGTACTATTGTCACGCTGAAGACTACCCAGCGCCAAGCCTGTCTCATTCACAGACTGAACGTCCTTGTCCAATATATCTCTGGGGCCGGGCGTGGGCTGGCCATCTGAGATATTCGTCTGCCACGTTTTGATGTTCAAACCAAAGACCTCTGTTGACATATCTGGCCGAGATGATGAGTTGAAAGAAGTGCTGATGTTCTTTGTGTTAACTTGTCGTGTATTTTGTCTGGTATTTGGGACACCAAACAACTTCTTGCCCAGTGAAGTTTTAAATAAAGGCTGATGTGGCACCAGTTCCATGCTGGATATCACGTTCGTGTGTGACGTCAATGTGGGCATCGGCTGGCTGCGGCGACTAACTTCGGACACATCCTTCTCATGTTTGTCAGTAACTCCGTCTTTTTTAGATACCACTTCTGCCAAATCTCTCCGTACTTTTCTTTCTTTTTGTCCTGACAACTGCGCCTTTAAATCAATTTTATACAGATGGCTATTGCCGGCTGGCGTAATTAAATCTTGGAAAATACTTGGGACACTTACGAAGTCGATTGAAGTCTCTTCGTCGTTACGTTGGTCTTCAGCTTGTTTGATAACGTGCTCTTGTCTAACACTCGGACTATCTCCAGAACCCGAAGCTGCTTGAGCAGACACCCCAGTTACAAGCTGGCATATGCACATAATGAATATGGATAGAAAATTCCAACGAGATCCTGGCATTTCCAGCAGCTGATGACCTAATATATTAAAGTGAGGGAGTAGATTGGTTGCAGAAACCAACAATAATTATTGTTTATGTTCTAAAGTATCTTTGCCTTTATTTATATTTCATACACAAAATAGTGAAGTTTTAATGCGTGTGTACTACTGTATGTTTTCTGATGTGTGTCAAAAATACCATCCATATGATGTTAGATGTTTGTTGTGCGGCAGAGCCAGTGAACTCTCAGAGACAGCTTGAATGTTTTTTTTTTTAAACCAGATTGTTCAATTAACGATTTTTCAGTTTCTTGTTGTGTAGATTGTCGACCAAATGTTGACAGGTAGAACGATGTTTCTGGGTTGTTGTTGTTATGGTAAAGGTTTCAGTAACTGGCAGAATTTGACTGTTTTGGGCCTGAATGGAAAAAAAAATTCAGCAACGCTAGAAGCGGTTGATATAAGATTTGATGTTTCGAGTGAGTTCAGTAACAGTGATCGATTCTTGTCCTACTCGCCGACACAAAAGCTTTCTACACTTCCGTTTCCTGATGGCTAGGTCTAGCTGGGAGTTATCGCCACCTGAAACATAATCAAAGTAAAGTAAATCCCTCTACACGCCAGTGGCGTACCGGCTATCTGAGGTTGGACTCAAGTTGGTATTAATATCCTACCCCAAACAGGGAAAAACCACAGGTCACGGGACAGTCTAATATTTCAGGGGGTGGTAGATAGGCTGCATGCAGTCGTAGGACCTAGGCTGCATGCAGTCGTGGGACCTAGGTTGCACTCTCTCGTGGGACGTAGGTGGGTTGGGGTTAGGGCCAGTTCTAGATGTTTTTGGGTCGTTAAAAGAAAGTCGGGAAACCTAGTCTTACCACCCTCTAAAATATTGGACTGTCCTATGACGTTATCTGGAAAAAAGGGAAAAGGGGGGGGGGGGGTAGGATATTAATAAAGCACCCTCATGTTTGTATAAACAGTGTCTACCCAAAAAATACACTGAATGAGTGACGCCATAAAAAGGTGCCGGTATTGCGTACTCTCAGAAAAAAAAGTCGTAACTGTTCTTGAGGCCTGGTCACATGAAATAGGTATGATCCACGATTCTAGTGATCGCGTATCTGCATCCTGTCTGACACAAAGAAACCGGGGTTGTGGTTGGGGGGGGGGGGGGGGGGGGGGTGTTGGTTTTACTTAATACGGGGGAGGAGATAGGGTCGGGGCGCTGAAGATAGCTGAGCCCTCATGTTCCTGTGGCAGACGTTGATGACGATCGTTGATTATACTTTTGTTGGCAGATAGTTTAGTCTGTAAACCTCACAGATACATATCAAACAAGTGCTGGACGGATGCCCTAACTGTAAACATGTCACAAGTGCATTAACCCTAGAGCCCGTAGAGCTGAGGCGACGCCAGAAGCCATCATTGCTGGGTTCGGCCCCGGTATGACTTTCTAGCGGATGGGGATCCATGAGATTAGGGCCATGTTTGAGATCGCAACAATAATAAATTACTGAATGGCAAGTAAATATAAAAATATATTAAAAAAAAATATGAAATCCATATAAAAGTACTTAATCTGAAAACGTATACTATTTGTTAGAGGGAAACTTTACAATCCCCATTCCCAACTTATGTAAAATTTGTAACAGGAGGGGGGGGGGG